ATAAAGGTAATATTCAAATAGGAAAGGTCATTCTTTTGGACACGGACTAAAAAGAAAATAGGTTCACAGTAAACTAAAACGGAGGAGTAGCAAAGTTTGTTTCATACTGTAAACATTATAGTCTTTTCGCTTGAAGTGTTTGATTGGATACGAAATTTAAGAATTATTTTATTGGACGTATAAAAGGATCTGCCAAACACGCAAGCACACAATGGCCAAGCATGGAAGAGAAAGTCTTACCTTCTTCAATTGATTAACAAGAATATATATACAAGTTAAGTAGTAAACATTAGTCCTAACAAATATGGAAAACTAGTCCTAACAAATATAGAAAAGGAAAATTCTCCTAGTCCTAAACATACATTATATTTACTATCCATATATATACCCATACACACACGCACACACACGCATTAAACCCCCCCCTCCCCACTTGCGCAAGAGAGTAACACACTGAGATTTTCCTAATGCCTTCGTAAAGATATCTGTCAATTGCTCATGTGAAGGCATAAAGCTAGTACGAATATTTCCATTGTCAATCTCGTCAGGAATAAAATGATAATCCACTTCAATGTGTTTGGTTCTTTCATGAAAGACTGGATCTTTGCTCCGTGCAATGCTGCTTGACTGGCACAATAAAGATGAACAAAGGAAGTGTAAGTCACTCCCAAACTAGACAAAATTTCCTTCAACCATTTCACCTTACAGATTGTCATTTCCATAGAATGATATTCAGCCTCTGCAGATGATCGAGAGACGGTATATTGCTTCTTAGTCTTCCTAAGATATGGGTGAGTCACCCAATAAGATAAACCAACCTGTGAGCGAGCGTCGAGTCAAGGGACAACCAGCTCAATCAGAATCACACCATCCATAGAGACGTAGATCATGTTTGCTTTTTAACAAAATACCTTGTCCTGGATTCCCTTTCAAGTAGCGAACGGCCCGTAAAGCTGCATCTCAATGCTTCTCTTTTGGTTGCTACATGAACTGAGATAAAATATGAACATTGTAAGACATTTCTGATCGAGTGAAACACAGATAATAGGTCGGTCTATCAAACGACGATAACGCTCAGGGTCATCAAGCGCCCGTCCACCCGCCAATACCACCCGATGATTTTGTTCCAACGGCACTCCCACAGGCTTAGCACCTAATAACCCAACCACTGAGATAATATCCAAGGCATATTTTCGTTGGCTCAAAAAGATGCCTTCTGAACTTTTGGAGACTTCCACTCCCAAAAAATATTTCAATCTACCCGAATCCTTCATGTGAAAGCATTTGACATGATAGGTTTTGTACTCACGGATAGCCTCGGGCTCATTGCATAGATAATCAGATCATCAACATACACAAGGACATT